ATCCCTTGAAGTCAGTTTGTCTTATGAGAAATAAAGTCTTTCGTCTCTAAGGGCATCGAGGGTGTTTGATGCTAACATATTGAATGAATGACGTTTTTGTATCAATATTTCCAATACAAAATACAAGATAGTTAACACCTGGTATTGAACGTCAACTCAAGTTGGTATACCTTATGAAAGGACTACCCAAACACTCAAGTTGACATATCTTATAAAAATACTATCAAAACACTCAAGTTGGCATATCTTATAAAAATACTATCAAAACAATCAAGTTGGCATATCTTATAAAAATACTATCAAAACACTCAAGTTGGCATATCTAATAAAAATACTATCAAAACACTCAAGTTGACATATCTTATAAAAATACTATCAAAACAATCAAGTTGGCATATCTTATAAAAATACTATCCAAACACTCAAGTTGGCATATCTTATAAAAATACTATCCAAACAATCAAGTTGGCATATCTTATAAAAATACTATCCAAACACTCAAGTTGGCATATCTTATAAAAATACTATCCAAACACTCAAGTTGGCATATCTTATAAAAATACTATCCAAACACTCAAGTTGGCATATCTTATAAAAATACTATCAAAACACTCAAGTTGACATATCTTATAAAAATACTATCAAAACACTCAAGTTGACATATCTTATAAAAATACTATCAAAACAATCAAGTTGGCATATCTTATAAAAATACTATCAAAACAATCAAGTTGGCATATCTTATAAAAATACTATCAAAACACTCAAGTTGACATATCTTATAAAAATACTATCAAAACACTCAAGTTGACATATCTTATAAAAATACTATCAAAACAATCAAGTTGGCATATCTTATAAAAATACTATCCAAACAATCAAGTTGGCATATCTAATAAAAATACTATCCAAACACTCAAGTTGGCATATCTTATAAAAATACTATCAAAACAATCAAGTTGGCATATCTTATAAAAATACTATCCAAACACTCAAGTTGGCATATCTTATAAAAATACTATCAAAACAATCAAGTTGGCATATCTTATAAAAATACTATCCAAACACTCAAGTTGGCATATCTTATGAAAATACTATCCAAACACTCAAGTTGGCATATCTTATGAAAATACTATCCAAACACTCAAGTTGGCATATCTTATGAAAATACTACCCAAACACTCAAGTTGGCATATCTTATGAAAATACTACCCAAACACTCAAATTGGCATATCTTATGAAAATACTACCCAAACACTCAAGTTGGCATATCTTATAAAACTACTACCCAAACACTCAAGTTGGCATATCTTATGAACAGACAACCCAAACACTCAAGTTGGCATATCTTATGGACAGAGAACCCAAACACTAAAGTTGGCATATCTTATAAAAAGACAACCCAACCACTCGGGTTTTCATGAAAAGACTACCTAAAGAGTAAACTTTTTGTGCTGATTTAGTGTGTAGTATTTAAAGTTAAGTGCCTCGTTTGTTAAATGATAATTTGCTGATTTTATAATTGATAGTATGGTATATCTACATGTAGTTGACATAATATATATACTAAAAGATAAATCAGGCGTCATCACTGAATATACTGATAAAACTTAACAGACACTGGCAGTTATACAAATATCTCCTGTGGTCAGTAACTTCAATTAGCGTTCTATGGCTTCTTGTTGTTCAGTTCGACACCATTTAATATTGAATTTCTCCAATGTCTTTACTTTATATAATAGGATATATCCACAAGTCGTTTTGTTTGCCTTTTTGTATGATAAAAACCTACCGAAACATCAAAAGTAATTTCGATTTCACAATCGGCAAATTGGTAAAGGTTCTTGGAAGGTCTATCGCCAAGTCATCACGTCACATTCGCCTATACTCTTTACAGATTTTTGTGTTCTAAGTGAGAAGGCATCAATAATTCAACAATGTTTCATATCTAACATGTAATATTCGTCCAAAATGTCAAATTCAGGAAAATGTCGAGTTAAGAAATTTGAATGAAACATACATATTGTATTTATGTTGTCAATATATTCAATAGAGTTTACATGCCTGTCAACATCTGTTATTGAGGTACTGTTCTATTTATTATTGACGACTATTGTATATTTAGTTAGCGAATATGACAGTAAAAAAGTTCGGAAATGTTGAAGTGAAAAATGAAAAAAATTGCATTAAAAAAAATTTAGAAAAGAAGGATTAGGCTTGCTCTCGAACTAAGTGTTATGCTTTATCACACAAAGCGATTAGTGACGTCACCAAACACTTAGAATTGGAATGGTACAAACTGATCCTATCAGTGTCTCATATACACATAATTTTTTTTAGAAAACCTCTTTACAATCCCCTTTTTATACTCATCTGACTAAAATAACTTCTTAATCGTTCCCTGAACCAGAACTTTTAAACCTTTAAGATTAGTCCTGAACAATTTGAAGTGTTGAAGTAATATTTTATGCTATTTGGTAACATTTTTGCCTCGATTCTTAACATCTGTTATTTTTTGTTTTTTTTTAAATTTACAGAGATGTCACGAGTTTTTGTTTTATTATAAAGTAGATGATGGTCGTGTATTTTATAATCAAATAACCTTTTACAAACTAAGATTACGCTTTTAAAGAAATTCCCATGAGTTTTTTAAAGGTTAGAAGAGATAACTCGGGAAATTATATAAGCAGTTAAACATTATGGGCACATTGGTTGACTTTAACGAGATAAAAAGATACTATATAAGTAGTATTTTCAGATTCGTCATCCGTTTGATCAGTAACAGTGAAATTCGAGCCTTCAAAGCCATGTTTGTCCAGAAATATCCGCGTTTGAATATTATATATGTGAACTCTCTAAACGGGATACCAATTTGATTAATCTAAACACGATGAGTTGACAAATTTAAATACCAAAAATATATCATTATGTGCTCTCTGAAACCTAAATTAAATATTATTAGATATGTGGACTTAAGTCTACAGGTCGAGTACTCGTTGACTTGTATGGTATAAACCTAGATGCGCTGATTGACGCTGGCAACCGCCGACTTCTAGCGTATATATAGCGTATAAAGACGATTAATGGTATCAGAAGTATGATCCACCTTAATGCAACAGTTTTTAACATAAATTCCACTGTCGTACATATTATCTAATCTACTTCTGTCTTTTTTTGTATTTTCAGTTGGTGTTTTTGTGTTATGTTGGACGCCATATTTTGTGTTTTCTGCATGGTGGTGGTTTGACAAGTAAGTTATTTTGACATTTTATCAGCTTTCTATGAATCATTAGGTGATGGTCGAGTAGGGGCCACAGAATGTCCCTTTTCTTCTTTCCCCTGATTCCTCCTGATGTTAACACCACTGACATCAACCTTACTCTATGTGGCCGAATTTGCCGTCATCATGTTCGTGAACTCCCCCCGGCGTAATTCGGTAGGTCAATACGACCAGCCTTCTCTTCATCCGCCAAGATGAAGAACTAGCTGATAATGATGAAGATGGATAAGAATTTGGTTAAATAGAAATGTGACAGTATGTTGATGAGATCCGAGCGATTTCTAGCGAACCACCAGTGTTCTGTGTAATATTATTTTTCTAGCATGTAATCCTGTCTTTTACTGTGTGCATCAATTACTCTTTTTTTCATCCGCCATGTCAAAGTGAATAGAAGGGGGTTTATATTTCACATTGATCTTACTACTAGCTGAATCTAAACGATTAACTACAATTAGAATCTGCTGGGCTGTAGGCGAATAAAATACACCACGGGCAAACAAATAGCCGTTAGTTGCAGTTAAGTTCTACTGAATTGAATATTCAGTCTATCGCAGTATCTGAAAGTTCATGACGATATCAAAGGATCTTATCAGATTCTGTCGGCCTTTGATTGTCTTGATCTGTCCTAATGATGTGGATCAGATGATGAGATCTAAACGATTAACTACAATTAGAATCTGCTGGGCTGTAGGCGAATAAAATACACCCCGGGTCCACAAATAGCCGGTAGTTGATGGTAAGTTCTAATAAATTGGATATCCAGTCTATCACAGTGTCTGAAAGTTCAGTCGGCCTTTGATTGTCTTGATTTGTCCTAATGATGTGGATCAGATGATGAGAATCACTGGTTGATCAAAAACTACGATATAAGAAGCTTTCAGAAAGCAATCAGAGAAAGTAATAAAGTTTTCATTGAGAATAAATCAATCTAGGATTAAATCTTTTTCGGTTCATTGAGTTCTTTGTATTATAGTATTATAGTGTATCAGATGTTTATATCCGTAGACTAATAACAGCTTCAAACATATTAAATAATTATACGACTTGGTTTCGATTGGCGAATTTTTCTTGATGAAATTCGAAATGTACTATTACTTCTTCCTGGTACAAGGGCCAAAAAATATTTATTATGTTCAGCTAAGAGTTTTACTCACATTCATATTGTCCTCGAATAAGGAAGGGGTAAATTTTGAAGATTAATGTGATTATGCCAGAAACATTGTTCCCTTAGGAATCGATTGATATATTTTTCTTGGATACAATCAGTACTGCACCTGTAATAGCTGCTTCAAATTTGAGTAAAACCTCAGTTAAGTATGATAAAAGGTTTGTGGCATCGCATGACTCAGGAACATATTGTGTTGGTGACACTATAACCACTAACAAAATTTGTGACGTATCCTTTGATCAACCTTTATTGACGTTTCGTCGATTTCCTCATCTTTGCCAGTGACATCTGACTTCGATTTGGTTAATAAATAAGACATATTTATTGGTTTAGTTTATTTATTTTGTAAAACCGTTTGATAAACAGAAGATATTATCAGAGAAAAAATTCGGTTGCGGATCGCCTTCATATTGATCTACTTGTTAATAACCATTTCTCGACACATTCAGTGTAAAGTTTCACTGACAAGCTTCATAATATAATTAGCAGAGAGAAAAAACCTTCAACAGCGACATCAGCTTACACTTTATAAATGTCCAACTGTTTTAAGTGATTTTTCAGTACACTTATACCCTTAGTCCATTATCATATCCGAACAATAACCCAATTTTCGATTTTAAGTGAATTAAGTTAATCTTAGTCTGTCGAGAGAGAAGGAATTCGGATATCAATCCATCACCAGGACAGTTGGTTAGGAAATTGAGATTGATGCTCTAATATTTTGATGTATGACTATACTTAGTAAACTCCTACTTGTTAATCTTAAGAAGCTTTTAAAGATGGGTTTCCTTGTTTATGGTCAAATTAAGTCAACTATTTGCTTAATTAGTGTTTGCAGTGAATTATCATGTATTGTTAATCATATCATTATGTTCTTATTGCATATACTAAAGAGTTTTAACCAATCATAAATGTCCATGTATGTACAGTCTGGATAAACAAAAGAAGACTTTTTAACCTTTCTTGATCTGTCATTAATAGGAATTCTGGTGGTTATTCTCTTCTAATTTTGCTAATTAATAAATTTATCATGGACATGTGAGACAAAATGGTATTTTTCCAAGTCATTAGAACATCTCTACCTTCTATTCATATAAGTATTAGTATTCATGAAAAAAAGGGAACCCATCTTTAAAAACACTTCAGAGAATGGTTAATGAAGGTTCATATTTAGAGAGTATTTGCATCGAGGTTGAACTGGACCAGGTAAATAAAGTGTGCAATGCGCGATTGATACAGTATTAGTATATGGAAGATACGAATACGATTACGATACAGGCATAATTTGTTTCTTCAATCCCGCACCGTACGTCTAACCGACAACCATACCTCGTCTATTGACTTATTCTATTTTCTATTGTAGTAGACAACGTACAACAAACCTTGTCTATTACAAACTTTACTATTTATTCTCGTACGTCATTTCCTGTTCTGTAAGATTGAAATGGCAACTTTCTCAGACTTGGAAGGTTTTAAATATTTTCGGTTATATAATTATATTAAACGTTACCTTTAAAAATTAGTTATATTTTTATGAAAGGCAATCATTCTTAAACTTTCAGCAGCATTTTTTTGAATGTTATGCTGAAATTGACATAATAATAATCGGTAAAATTTCATTAATAAACAACAATACGAAGCCAAAAAAATGTTGACCTTGACTCAAGATTTATCCATAATTATAAGGTTTTTAGATGTTTTCTTTTAAAACGGGTAGTTCGTTTCAGACAGGTTATTTACCTCGTTTTAAAGTCACTATATTACAGAGTTATTCATCTTCACAATGTCAAGCTATTACGAACTTCGTTCTTCGTTCACATTGTGAAGATGTAATTATAACAGTAAAAAACGGGTGTCTTGGTGGATTTCCAATATAATATTGAAACAAACAGACCTTTATAAAGTTTCTTCGTCGTATCAAATTTCAGACGTTCACCTCGTTTGCTTCACTTTCACTATGGCTTTGGTAGCCCTCTAGCGTTCCCCAGGTATAGCATCTTTCCTTGTTCAAGATGTGGCACCATTTCATAACGAACACTACAGTACCAGACTGATGTGACTGATTGTTTCAACTGCTATGCAAATAAATCAATGTGCGATTTAGATATTAACTAAATTATATTATTGTATGTATATTACATATTATGCAGAGTGTAGGACTAACTGTCCAATTAAGGAACTTTCATATATGCATTTAATTTACTGAACATAGCACTAATAGTTTAATACTACACACTCCATGCATGATAAATGTTAATTGTTGATTCAAAATCAGTAAAGGACACCTTCTTTTTCTAAAGAAGCTAAAACTGAACAAAATAGCAAGTAGTGAACACCGTGTTTTATTATACAATTGCTTGCATAAGGGTTTCCAATTAATAGAAATAAGACTCGACGACGACTGGTGAATAAAATACAAAATACAACTGACTAATTGTTACGACTTCGAGGCATGGTTTAACTCCTGAGTTTGATTCATAGTCGCTTTAATCTTCGAGATGATTTTTGTCATCCTTGTCATCCTACTGACTATAATATAAAATGTATGTGTCAGAAAAAGTCACCCACACATTCTGTTGACATTTGCTGTTATCTGTAAACGACAATATTCTCAATTGTTTTAACTATCTGAGATTCGATAATCACCGTTGTCGAGGGTAGGTATTTAGAAATTTGACTTTAGGGAAGTGAGGGTTTGATTTGAAAAATACTTCATGTAGTATCAATTGGATGATGATGTTTAAATCGTTATCGCAAATGATTTGTATGTCCGACAAGAACAGCAGTCGCGATTTCTTAGCCCCTTGGAATACTCTAACAGGGTTCAAACAAAGCAAACTAACTGCCGAGTTGACACACCAAAAACTGAAATTAACGTTATTGGCTATGTCCAACCTATGAAATAGATAATGAGTTGACAAACCCACATACCAACGTCATTAGCAATGTGGAATCTCAAAGACATATTATGAGTTGTTAAACCCTAATATCAAATAAACATTATAGACTGATAGTGGTATAAGGTGTTTCATCTCAATATCAATTACTGGAATTAGAATGTGGGTGTATTGTCGGTAATGAAAATTAGTTGTATTGAACGTGATCTCTTTGATCATAGATCAATATTAAGAGCCAATGGTCAAAGTTGACTTGTAAGTTAGTACATTATCCCAATCATCAACACCGAGGGCTCATCAACAGGACACACTGCTATTGATAAAGATACATTTAATTCGATTAGGGAAAGGCATGGTGTCTAAAATAATAATAATGACCACTAATGGAAAGAAAATTAACTTCTTGAAATTTCCTCCAGTAATGGTTCTAATAAGATGACCTACTTGAAAATTGTCTTCGTTTTTGTGCCATTAATCTCGGCTGAAATCATCAAAATGGTTGAAATCGATCGAGCAATTTGTCGTTATCTCAATTCCGTTGTGGTAATATGTTTAAATAGCTATTCCAATTTCGTATCCTTGTGTTTTTTTTAAAGAAATGAAAGTAAATTGAGCTTTATGTCTTACTGTTCCGTAACTTGTTAAAATGATGAAATGAAAAAGGTGTTTTTTGTTCTATTGTTCTGTAGCTTGTTGGCTTTTTGACGTAAAGTAGAGTTTTATATCCTACTGTTTTGTACCTTATTGGACTAATGAAATAGAGTTTATATCCTACTGTTCTGTACCTTATTGGACTAATGAAATAGAGTTTATATCCTACTGTTCTGTACCTTATTGGACTAATGAAATGAAATAGAGTTTTATATCCTACTGTTCTGTATCTTATTGGACTAATGAAATAGAGTTTTATATCCTACTGTTCTGTATCTTATTGGACTAATGAAATGAAATAGAGATTTATATCCTACTGTTTTGTACCTTATTGGACTAATGAAATGAAACGATCACTTTCCACTTTATTAACAATTACTTTATTCGTATTGTCAGTGAACATAATTATACACAAGAAATTATGAAATTACTCAATACAATTTACTTACACTTTCACGTATGCTTATAAATAATTCATAATTTCAATAATATTGACAATAAGGAACTATTTTTTGTAAAAATAACAAACTAACTCTGAACAATACACAATACACTCTCAGTTATTTTATCATCGGTATTAAAATTCATTTTATCATTCTACTCAATAATTGTCCACGTGAGAATTAAGAAATATAATTTTTACAGACGGAGCTCCTATAGCATATATAGTTCATGCTATTTCTGATAAAAGACTAGCTAACATGACTGGTTAATTTAACACAGATTAGTGCCTACATCATTATACATTTAGTTTACCAATGCGTGAATTTCAAGTGAACGTTTGAATTATTGAAATAAAACGTCACGCCGTTATCGTACTGGTCAAATGAAATGGGTTTTATTTCCTCTTGTTCGGAACCTTGCAGACTAACTAACAATGCATTTTACAACCCACTTTTTTGTATCTTGCTGGACTTCTAGACTGAAATGTATGTAGTATGTAGAAATGTATGTACTTTCTAAGCCAGATGGTAAAGAATGATACAATGTAAGGCCTAAGTTCATTTTATTTTACCAACAAGGTACAGAACAGAAGAGTAGGACATACGACTTCGTGTTATTTCATTAGTCCAATAAGAGACAGAACAGTAGGACATAAAACTCCATTTCATTTCATTAGTCCAATAAGAGACAGAACAGTAGGACATAAAACTCTATTTCATTTCATTAGTCAAATAAGGTACAAAACGGTACGATATAAAACTCTATTTCATTAGTCCAATAAGGTACAGAACAGTAGGACATACGACAAAACAGTAGGACATTACGACTTCATGTCATTAGTCCAATAAGATACAGAACAGAAGGGTATAAAACTTCATTACATTTCATTAGTCCAATAAGATACAGAACAGAAGGATATAAAACTTCATTACATTTCATTAGTCCAATAAGATACAGAACAGAAGGATATAAAACTTCATTACATTTCATTAGTCCAATAAGATACAGAACAGAAGGGTATAAAACTTCATTACATTTCATTAGTCCAATAAGATACAGAACAGAAGGGTATAAAACTCCATTTCATTAGCTCAATAAGATACAGAACAGAAGGGTATAAAACTTCATTACATTTCATTAGTCCAATAAGATACAGAACAGAAGGGTATAAAACTTCATTACATTTCATTAGTCCAATAAGATACAGAACAGAAGGGTATAAAACTTCATTACATTTCATTAGTCCAATAAGATACAGAACAGAAGGATATAAAACTTCATTACATTTCATTAGTCCAATAAGATACAGAACAGAAGGGTATAAAACTTCATTACATTTCATTAGTCCAATAAGATACAGAACAGAAGGATATAAAACTTCATTACATTTCATTTTACCAATGAAAAATAGTAAGATGTACCTAACTCCATTTCAATTCATTAACCAAATAAGGTACAGAAAAAAGCCCACTAAAAAACTGGATGTACAACTAATTTCATTAGCTTAATAAGATACAGAACAGCAGTATATAAAACCCTGGTTCATTTAA